GGGGGGGGGGGACACCTCACGATATCTACGTTGCGCGCAACGGAGTTCGATCCGCTCACACGCGGAACGGCTCCTCGGTGGTGCGGTTTTCGCGAACACGTCGCTCATTCGCGAATCAAGCGGGTAAAAATAACCAGGCCGCGCACACGGCCGATTTCCGTAACTTCGCGTGACTCGGTGCGTTCCTTAGGTGGCGGCCTAAGCGTTGTTCGAATCTGCAAAATTCTGTAAAATATAACATCTCACGATCTCGAATCGCCTTGTTGAATTTCTCATAAGCGGACTCAGCGGGTTTAACGGGTAGCTCGACGAGGATGATCGCGCGGCCTGGTGCGACGTCGAAGGCCAGCACCGAGTATATTTTTGCCTGACGCGTCCACCGGGCGCGGCAGATCTGGCAACCCTGACGCCTCGGAGCCCTATTTAACGTAGCAGGAAGAACATCGGCCTGGCGGTCGCTTCTCGTACTGTTTTTGGCCTGCGGCGTTGCCATGCCCGATTCACATCTCGCGCCGAGGAGGTCTGGTCCTCCGCGCGATTCTAGTGTATCCTGATCGCAGCGACATCAGCGACAGAAATAAAATGAGTAAATTTGGGCGCTCTCGGTACCACTCCTGGCTCAAACTTCATTCGGTTAACATCCAGTGGCACCAGACGATCGACAATGGTAAGTCCCGCTACCTGCTCAGCTGCCTCTGTTCCTTTCACAGGGTGTCTTCCTAACGTCTTCTTCGTGAATTCATTATCAGCATCTCACCTTTCCGATAAGCCCTGATTTTTAATCAATCTTATCAAACGATCGTTACTTGATCGCTTTAAGTGATAATAATAGATCCGAAGTTATGTAATATATTAATGAACTACGAATAGAGACCCTTGTAAGCTATTGGTAGTAGTTTCAAGTTAGCGAATTATAACGTTTCGACGTAATTGAAGGATCTCTTCTTGTATTTCAGGCAGACCTCAGCGGCAAGGATGTCGAAAGTGAGTAAAACGATCTCTAAATAGCTTCCTCTATATTTTCGGCGCGCGTACCAGACGGATGTGCAATTAATAAAGACGAACTTACATCAGTCAGTGAAGATACAAGTGACTCATAATTTTATTAACTTTTTACTGATATGTGATGCAACCAAGAGAAAGTGGACAAGGTTCAGACGGAAAAATGTAAAATTCCCATCGCAATCAATCGACAGTAAAGTGCGTGTCAAATTACATCACGTAATTAACCCTACGACATACCGTGGTAAAGTATAACGCACACTCTTGCTAAATCTGTTTTATTTCATTCTGTGATTATTTTATCAAGCATATACAATTTACGTTTTAATCTGATTGACAAAATGTGCTAAAAAGAAAATGTTAATCGCTTTTAATATTAAAAGATTTTCATGCATTAACGTTTAATCTCAGTATCAAATATTCAAAAAAATTGTTTCGTATAATCCCTATTAATATGGCAAAAAGCTAAAAGTTTCCAAATTCGTCGATTTTTCTGAAACATCAATTCGCAATTGTCGAATCCGATGGATAATAAATGCGAATTTCCCTCGTTACTTTTCGAATTTCTATATATTACATGCCATTTTTAACGTTACGTAACGACTCATCGGGTAGAAGGATGCAAGCATTCCGCGAGCACGTCAAAAATAGGTTGGTAGGCTGTTCTTATATGGTTCGGCGGGGGTAATCTGACCCACTACTTCCACCAGCGAGTTCCTCAATCGGCAGGTTGGGGGGGGGTGTCTCCCGAAATAGAATAATATTTTTGAATTAGGTACGCACGCGGTACTNTAATCTGACCCACTACTTCCACCAGCGAGTTCCTCAATCGGCAGGTTGGTGGGGGCTGTCTCCCGAAATAGAATAATATTTTTGAATTAGGTACGCACGCGGTACTCCATGCCTACGACTGGTATTAACCTAGATTTCGCATCTCGCGTATTTAAAGTGCGAGCCACATACCGACGACCGACAAGAGCGAGTATATCTCTAAGATTCCTGCGGAATCGCAAAAGTATCGCCTGGTCATCAACGGATGCGTTTGCGAAAATATCCGTCGCGACATACTTCCGTAACTTCTGACGTCGTAACGAAAGTATCTAAGAAGCTATTCTAAGAAACTATTTTTTTTTAAAGGGGCAGAATTCGCCTTCTCCATTTATGATAGCGACGGCACCAACGTCATCGACGCTGTTGACCTTGGCAACGTCCTTCGTGCGTTGAACTTGAACCCAACGAATGCCACCATCGAGAAGCTGGGCGGCACGAAGAAGAAGGGTGAGAAGAAAATGAAACTGGACGAATTCCTCCCCATCTTCAGCCAATGTAAAAAAGACAAGGAACAGGGATGCTACGAGGACTTCCTCGAGTGTTTGAAACTATACGACAAGCAGGAAAATGGAACCATGCTCGGCGCAGAGTTGTCTCACACGCTTCTGTCGCTTGGTACGATTAATTTACACGATTTATTCGATTATCTGAAACATATGAAATAGTTACCAGTAATTATACTTCTGCGTTTGTTCCTGCCGAAACATAACGTAGGACATTTAATAGACACTTTTTAAAAGTTCAACCATACGATTGCTAATTTGTTGACTAATATTGCAATATTATAATTATTCCTGCTATAACTATAACAAATTATAATAATATTTCAACATTATAGAGTCTATATATATTATACTTTCAATGTAATTTTATAATGAAACTTTCAAATTGTAAACATGTTCAGCAAAATTGTGTGCCCGACTCTGTTGCAGCGAGTTAAAACTTTAAGTGAATAACAACTTTTAAACGAGTAACACAAGTACTTTGTTATAGGTGAACGTCTGAATGACGCGGAATGTGATGAAGTGATTAAGGACTGCATGGACCCAGAGGACGACGACGGTTTCATCCCCTATGCCCGTAAGTATCGATCTGTTTTTACCTAAGAACCGTGAATGCGTCCCCCAGAATAGACGAAGAGTGTTAAATCATCCGCATCCGTGAGTCACGTTGACATAAAGCACGTTAGTTTGATGAGAAGACCCCCTCCCCCCCTCATCTACTCTGTAAAGTCCCCCGGTTTGTCGATGTTAGAAACCCACCCGTGTACATTACAAGTATAGTCGAAAAACTCATCCCCCCCCCCCCCCTGATTCGCACCCCCGGTAACTCCCGGCAACGTGAAGAGATCGCTCGGACTATATTCGTTCCCTCCCCATCGTTTGACACTTCCACATTTTTGTGTTTCGCAGCCTTCTTGAAGAAGATGATGGTGCTGTTGTAAGCGATCGAGGTGTTATCGAGACAAATGATCATCCATCGTGAGTACATCCTGTAGTACAAATCCGCGCTTCTCCGCAACTTCTTCGCTTTCTGTCTATCTGTCTGTCTCTTTCTCTTCTTCTCGTTCTCTCTGTATCTATTAACGTCCGCTTTATCCGTCTTTCCTCGTTGAGCACACTTCAGAATTTATAGGACGCAACGTTGCAGTTCAACAGGGATGCTGAAATCGATAACTCGCTTCTCGCGCGGAAACACGTTCAAAGGTTTGCTCGTACACGAGGTCAATGACTCGACGAGATCATTAAAACAAAATAATGCGAAAATAAATGATGTGAATATAATCTATAATGTTTATGAATCGTATTATACGTTACATTTATATATAAATTTTTAATATAGTCGCATAAACTATTACATAAAAAAGCATTATATAGGACATAATATCACATTATTTATTCTAATTCTGTGCGAAAAGTTTTGTATTTTGTTACTCGCGACTTTTAAAATATAATAGGTGCAAACATCAAATATAATAGGTATCTAAATAATTTAGATCTATTTAATGACTATATAAATACATGTAGTATATAGTTGGTACATATAAATTTAACGCGCACGCAAATAGTTTGCTGCTTTTATATCTCCGTCGAGTCCTAAGACTTTACATATACTTCTGTCACAAAGCAATGTTCTCCAGATTCTTTCGCAGCCTAGTCATTGTACGCAAATTATTAATGCTTATTGTACGTGCATATTGCTGTTACGTATTTGTCGCTTCGCTACTGAAGAAAGCAGACATGGCGACACAAAATTGAACGCTGTTCCGCTGTCTATATTCGAACGGTGCGATTAAATCATACGCGAAGTTTCACGCAGACTAATTTCTGATCTCTGCCTTTAAATGTAGCCGTGTCGAAAACTTGGCCATTCGTCGATGCGCTTGCGTTCCATCTTCTCTTCCGCGCAGAACAACTATACCGATAGTCTCGTTTTGTTCGCAGCGTTCCTTCGTAAGCTGTGCGAGAGAGCGGCGGCGGCGGCTGACGACAACGAATGAACAACAAGATCGCCGGTGCTATCGGCATCCACCCGCTACGCTCCATATCAACGAAGGACACACATTTGCCATATTCGTTCGTCACATTCGCTATACTTCTCATCCCCCCGGTTCTCGTTCATCGCGCGATTACTCAATTCACGATTTGCGTGCGAGTCGCAATCCGATTTTCAAATCAGCATCGCCGAGACGTCCAACACATTTCAATACGGTAGAGGAAGCAGGAAAGAAGGAAAATCCACGAACATCGAGCGCAAAAAGGAAAGGGAAGCAATATACGACGACCGTGACATTTCGTTTCGAGTGCATGCTAGCATCGTTATCTGATTCGGTTTCACACACTGTTGCAACGCACAATGTCTCATGTTAAATATACAGAAAGACGTCTTAATAGTGCAGCATTGTACGAAATCGAACGAAACGGTCGGTGTTAATTTACTTCTTACTGTTAATAATAATGTAATAAATCGTTCCTCTCGAAATACTGGAGAGGATTAAAAACTGCCGATTATTTATTTCAAGAATATCCCTAATAAATTACATTCCCCATAAGTGTTATCGATTGAATACCTATCACATTTGCCGTAACTTTACGATAAGAGGAGCCATTAATACAGACTTTAAAATATAGGATAACATTTTTTTCCGCACCTTCTTGCTCTACACAGTGAAAAAAAATTCACAATAAAAAGTTTTGTGATAAATTTAACATATTTCACATGTCCCAAACGGTCCACATAAATTTTTGTGTTAGTTTAACGTAAGATGAATATGTTGAAAAATAATACAAATATTACGTCAAAAATTAATACATATTTAATATTCATAATATGTTGATCGATAATGAAGTATAAAGTGTGTTTAATTTACACACATTGAATATCGGAAGATTCAACACAAAATATATATCGAGATAACACAATATGTTAAATTAACACACGGGTATATTAAAAATTTAACACAACAATTTTAACAATGACCGATTTTTTATTATTATCATTATTTTAACGCAAGTACAAAGTAATTTTTTACTGTGCACTTGATCGGTAGCTCGGGAAAAACAGATACGATAAACATCGTCGAAAGCTGCCGAAAGACGTAGCCACGCTATGTAAAGCACACATTAGAAAATTAGCATCGATAATATTCGAATCAGGAAAGAATCCGTGTCGAAGGGATCGACCAAGGTAAACCGTAGTCCAACATCCGGACGTGAGATCGGCGTGAGATTTAGAGCGATTGATGCTATTACAGTTGGACAACCGACTTGTTACCGCGCCAGGCTTCTTAAAATATCCCAATCTATCATTTCAACGCGCCAGCCAAGTCGTTCGAATCGAGAAGAGCCGGCCTGTCGCGGCGCAGCATCCCTCGAGAGCGGCTCGATCGATAAATCCCGCGGATTTCAATCTCTCGCACGTCGTACCTGCCGGCTCGCTGATGACGAAGCGCGCGTCGTGGGTGGACGACGCGCGTTCGTTCGTACGCATTCGGCAGGCTTCGCGGAGCGGTCGTGTGGGGCCCTCCGCTCGGCCCCGGCGAGAGCCGAGTCAGTCAGTTCAAACGCGTCTTGAGCGCCGCGCGTCTCGAATTCTCCCCCGCGGTGTCAACGCGTCCGTCGTTCGACAGCTTCGCGCGCTCTCGACGCGTATTTTACGCGCGCGTGTAATCGGGCTTGTTTACGTCGTCGGCGCAGTGCGCGCGCTCGGCGTCGCAGCGGAAAGAAAGAGAGAGAGAGAGTAGTGCTTCGACGACGACAGAGAGGAGCGACCCGACGAGGATGACGGACGTCCAGGTCCAGAACCCGGGCAAGGACGACGCCAGCGGCAGGCTGCAACTGAACGACGCGGCCGTCCAGCAAACAGGTTGGTCCCGCCGCACGCGGTTCCGCGTCGCTTTCCCGACGTTATTTCCGACCGAGCAACCTTGACGCGCGATACGGTGGTCCACGGACGTAGATTCGAGCGAACGAGATAGTAGAATAGAGAGAGAGAGCGGTCGCCATTTTGACCCGACACGCGTAGACATGATCTCGAGGAAAAATCGCGCTTTTCCGTTGCTATTGTCCCAGCGCACCGCTCTGATCTTCTCACGCGATGAACCGCCGACGGATGGGACCGCACGGATGCACCGGGTGCAGCCGCGAGAAGAGCGCGCGCGTTTCCTGACCAAGGTCGATCACCGGACGATTGGTGACTATAGTCCATATTTTTCATCGCTTTTATTGACAAAAGTGTTTCCCACGAGTGGCTTAGAAACCATCTGATTGGCTGCATTGATAAAAGTGAGTTGAAAATATAGGCTCGCACCTTTTTCGAAGTTACGTATTTCGTTGAGAATAATGCGCGGCTGAATTCCTCTCAGAACAATCTGAGAAACGTACAGACTCAACTGTATCGATGTGGGACACCCCTCAACCGTTAACATTCTGAAAACGTCTCTGGAGTTCTCTCCTAAACCTAATACCTTGCTGCTTGATTTCGGTGCAACGTTCCTCCCGATGTTATCGAGCCCGCGAATTAGCTGGCGTTGATTACATAAACCGGAAGAAATCCTCTTTCACACCCAATGCGGTTAACTTTCGGGTTATTCGCGGCAACGTGATTCTTGTAATTTGTTGCGTCGCGTCACCGTATATTCGCGAGATCGCGTCGCCGCAGCCCGTAAATTTGTCACGCGTAGGACTTCGAGGTGACACACAATCCGGCAGCTTTCCGATTTACCCGTCGGCCGGGCAAAAATCCCGGACCAGAGGATTTACTTTATCGTGCGGGATTCTTTGTACATTAACAATTTATCGGTTTTATTGCGGTCATTTCGCTGAAAACGTCGCGCGCTGAAAAATAATCCCACCACTTGACAACAAGTCGTCAACAAGCGGTCCCATTCATCGTATACAAAACAGCACGCGTAATGTCTGATGTAAACGTATATCGGTGAATGAGAGTTATTTTCGGAACAGAAGGATGCCCAAGGAGCACCCCTCGTGCGACGTTAACATTCGCGCGTTTATCGACTAGCAAATCGAAAACAGAAAATCGGCTTTTCGCTCCCTATCGCGCGCAGATAAAACGCATTTTTTTATTGATAAGAGATAAGACGACACGATATAGATATCCGCGTGGTATATCCGTAACCGTTTATAATTGAAAAGCCACCGATATTATTCGTACACGATCCACGTAAAACAATACACGTAAAATGCACGAGGGTTATTACTCCGCTCAATCGCGATCGTATCAGTCATAGCCGTGATATCCACCTGCTGTTTACGAAGCACGATAAAATATTACGTTACGCCCTGCCCCCCCTCTCCCTCGGCATTAATTATTAAGGGGACCCGAAGACAGACACGCGTGTGAGAACCGGCAAGAGGTATCATTACGATGCTTGCATAGATTTATGAGGAAGACTGTACGGCGGCCTCAACGTCTCTCCGGGGGCATTATACTCGGGGAGCGATGAGAAAATCTAGCGTGTAACATAGCACCGTATGACTGGGAAGCTTTTTCCACTGTGCGCCATTCAGCCCGGCGCCTGCCGCCGACGGAATCGCCCGTAATACGGAAATCGTCACGTGTCGGGGCAGGCACTCGAGTTTCGTTTATTGCCGTCCGCGCGTAGGGAGGTTTTACAGAGACCGGCTCGTCCGCATGCCGTACCTGGCACGGTGCAGCCGCGAACTCTCTTCGCCTCGCGTTATCTAAAGTGTCACGGCTCATCTGACATTTGCACTGTTGCAACCGCATGTGACGCAAGCGGCAGATAAAAAGTCGCTCGTCGCGAAAATTCTGCGAGCCGAATCAAGGAAAAAGAAAGAGAGAAAGAGAGAGTAGCGTATACTTGTATCCTGGGATCATTGCCTCTTAAGCTTACGTTATGTTCACATTATGATGGTTGACTGCTTGGTAAAGTAAGAACAGTAAAACATCGGTTATTACGAAACAGAAAAGATGAAAGAAAGAAAAAGAGTTGGAGGTGCGCGTTGAAATAAAAACCCTACGTAATTACGAGGAGCATTTCGTGGTATTAGCCTCGAAATTACGTAGGGTTTTTATTTTAATGTGTACTTCCAACTTTGGTAATGCGTGGTTAACAGTGTAAATGAATAATAAAGTGACGATATTTCCATCTATAAGAACGATCAGAGAGAGAATTAGCGAGAATGACCTGGCCGCGGCGGGTCGTGCCGCAAATCGGGACCTTAAATAGGTCCTCAAGGTCGTGACGATGAGTAACGATCACGTGAGCGCGATCGCGAGCTCTTTCCGTGAGTTGCGGCGAATCTCAATAGGAAATCGCCGCTGTTTCCTGGCTCGCCGTCGGTTTACTCGCGAGGTCATGACGGCAATCGAAGCCTCGTAGCGGATCGTCGAACCCCGATGCGAACGTCGGCTTCATCGCGGCAAACGGAGCAGAAAAATCGGAAGGACGGCCAATTAGGAGATTGATGAGCGTCAATGAGCTAACGATGTTTCGTGGGCGTGTAATCGCCGCGGAATTACCAGGACAGCGTCCGTCCAAGCTGGGCTTGAAACGGACGAGCGTGCGGACAGCATTCTCAAATGGGACGGTGCTTTGGGCGGACAGGCGTCCGCTGTTTGTCCACCGCTTCCGGACGCGATCAGAAGGGGTTATCCCAATTACCGGCGACGGACGAGCCGACGCAATTTTCCGACAGAGCTTCCGTCGCTTCGCGATTTTCAACGTTTTAACGCGAACGAGCACTGCGAACAAAAATACGATATCGAATTGTCGTTATCGGAGGTTGTCTTATGTGTTCGGGTTAAAATTCGGCCGCAGCCGGTTGCGGGGAATCAATTTGAGTAATTAATCTGGAATTTCGCGGAAAGGGAATAATTACTATGAAATCTCGACTCGCACGAGCCAACGGCGATCCAACGACCGGCGCAATTCTCTTTGTCACTCGCCGCTCCAAGCTGATCCTTCGTCACTAGCTGTTACATTGCGGAGATTAATGGCTCGTAACCAGTTGTGTCTAGTTAACGCGCGAGTACCTAGAGTTACGTGGATACTTAACGTTACGCGAGTACGAGGCCAAGGTTCTGCTCGTTACCCACGTCCCGCTTCGGGCCCTAACACTGGCCATTATTGAAACACGCGTCATGTATTTGCGCACCCGAGCCTCGCTCCGTGTGTACACTTCGTGTTCCCTGCATGAAAGCGAGAAGAAGAAACCACGAATTTATGTATCAAAGCTCTCAGATATTCAGTCACGAAGACTGAAGCAAAAACACTCATTACCTTCATTCAACGTGTCTTCCCTCGTTATACGCGGATCCT